GACACAGCGAGAGAGGGAACACAAGCAGGGGGAGTGGGAGAGGGAGAAGCAGGCTTCCCGCGGAGCCCGATGCGGGGCTCGATCCCAGGACGCTGGGATCATGACCTGAGCCGAAGGCAGACATTTAACGACTGAGCCACTCAGGTACCCTGAAAATGCTTTATAGTTAACTAGGGAGATGGGCTAGGGAAAGTGTGTTAGGTGTGAAGTGCACTTTATTTTAGGGAGAGTTTTTTTTTCCCAAACCAAATTTTTTCCTGTGCTTTGAAATGATACACATGTACCTTTCTTAATCTGAAGGACAGGCTAAGAATGCAGAACATTATCTTTCTTCATTCTCTCACCTTTGTTCAATCTGTGGAAGGATTGGATATCTAAAATTAAAATCAAATGAGTCATCCTTTTAATTAATGCAAAATGTGGGAGAGAATCTGAGATTTTTTTGCATAAGTTCAGGACCTAGAAGGATCAACTAAGTGACTAAAATTAAATATTATTTTGATTCAACCCATGAGATATTTTTTGGAGCACAAATCTCAAGCCAGAGTGTTTTGCCCTACTTTCTGAAGGAGAAGACAAGAAATTTCCTCTTCCATTTTGGAAGTAACTAGTTATCCATGTTGGTTTATTCATAGGTAGTAGCTCTTCTGGTCATGGAGTTTCTTTCTTGATCCAGTATGCCTTCGAAAAAACTTGAGGGCTCTGTTTTGTTGATTAAACTCAAATTGGACTCTTGCTAAGTTCTGTTACCAGTCGTATATCTATGACCACAGTGCAAAATTAAAGTTTGAAAGTAATACTTAATATGCGTGTTTTCTCAGACCTACCACAGTACCTGACATGTGTCCTCTTGATAAATAGGCATGTTTTGAGCTTCCTTTGTGGGTCAGGGATGATGCTGAGGGTTCGAATAAATGCCTGAAGAGAATGGCCTTCAGCACCAGAGAGCTGGTGGTTTAAAGCCCAATTCAATTATGTAACCTGGAGCAAGTTACCAACCATCAAGACTCAGTTCACTCATCTGTAAAACAGTTTTTAACATCTATCGCCTAGGCTGGACACAGAAGATAAATTGGATGACGAATATAAGGTGCCTGGCAAGCACTCAGTAAATGTTCATTCCCCACGGTAGGAGGAAGATGCCCTTGGTGAGCCATCTTCCTGTTCCTTAGAAGAAAGCTGATTTTAACTTGCTAGTGTCGTGTGGCAATCACTTTGCATCTCCACGTAGCCTGTGTACATGGCCCTCGTGTTCCCCTTCCTTTAGAACTATGGGAGTCGTCAGATTGTACTAGAGAAAGAGGAAACAGAAGAGCTGAAACGCTTTGATGAACCAGGTTTGATTCTCATCGGTTTCAAGCCCTTGATATTGCTGAAGAAGCACCATTATCTGAGGCCCTCCCTGTTCGTGTACCCCGAAGAGTCCCTGGTGAATGGTATGTGGGGTAGACTGAGGGTAAATGAATGAGTAACAGAAGGTAGTTCTGCTTGGAACCTGGATAGGATGTACGTATTAAGGGGGTATTTTGAAAGTTTTTCATGCTCAGATAAGTTTTGGAAATTCGGGACTAAACAAAATTAGAGATTTCTTTAGGACCTATAATACACTGATACGCATTGTAAACATCCAGGAGGGGATGTGGAATTAGAATTTTTAAAACTTACTTCCTCTGGAAGTCTTTCTTTGAGGCATCAGATAGAGAATTAAAAAGAAAAGAAAAACCCAGTTTGTTCCCTAGTGTTGGCAATTAAAGATGCTATGAACTAGGTCATTGTGTTTGTCCAGACCTATATTCCTCTGTGCTATAGCTAATGAACCCCTGGATTTGACCTGGTTGGCTTTTATTAGGAACTGGGGCTTATATCATTAGTCTAAAGATAGTAAAAGTGAACTAATATTAATAATTCACACTCTGAAATGGAGTGTTTGAGGCATCTGATCTCTCATTGCTTTCCTTTCTCTTCCTTTCTGCACCTCTGCTGTCCCCACTTTCCCTTCAGCTCTGGGCTCATCACACCTTACCTAATGAAGTATCATAAGCCCTTTTAAGAAAATGGAAGAGAAATCGTAAGCTTATAACATGGGCTAAGAGGGAAACGAGGAGGAGATATCTTTAGGATGCAGACTTCTGGGATGTTTGTTTTCCAGGGAGCTCAACCCTGTTCAGTGCTCTTCTCACCAAGTGTCTGGAGAAGGAGGTCATGGCAGTGTGCAGATACACCCCCCGTCGGAACATCCCTCCTTATTTTGTGGCCTTGTTGCCACAGGAAGAGGAGCTAGATGAGCAGAAAATTCAGGTGACTCCCCCAGGTATGTGGAAGAGATCTTTTCAGTGCTTTTGAACCTTGTTCAGACTTTGGAATCCCTCATAGGATCCCAACTCAGACCTGCTGAACCAGAGTCTCCAGGAATGGGGTCTGGAAAAGGTGCATTTTTAGGGTTTCACAGGTGGATTTGATGCAGAGCCAGGTAAAGCTGCCAAATATGGTTGTGCAGTGCACAGCATGTGCAACTGTACCAGGCAGCTCTGCAGCCATGATTGAGCATTGGCTGCTTAGGGACTGTTTGCAGGTTACTGACAAAGTTTATGGCTCAACTGCTGGCAGCTTTACTAAAAGCCATTGTTAGCACCTTTGCAATGTTTAACATTTAGTTTATCCTCTGTATACACCAAGGCAGTGAGGTGTAGCAGAAAGACCATGGGTTTTGAAGTCAGACTTGACTTATTCTTATGTGTGGGAAAGTTTACTTTTTTTTTTTTAAGATTTTATTCATTTGAAAGAGAGAGAATGAGAGAGAGAGAGAGAGCACATGAGAGGGGGGAGGGGCAGGGAGAAGCAGACTCCCTGCCGAGCAGGGAGCCTGATGCGGGACTCGATCCTGGGACTCCAGGATCGTGACCTGAGCCGAAGGCAGTCGCTTAACCAACTGAGCCACCCAGGCGCCCCGAAAGTTTACTTTCTTTTGTTTCAGGCCCACCTCTGCCACTTGTTACCTGGCCGACTTGGGCAAATAATTTAACCTGTCTACTTATATTCCTTATCTGCAAAGATGAGAATTCTGGAACACCTTACTCTTCAGGTTGTATAAGTGACTAGTACAAAGTAGCCAAGAGATGGTAGGTAGTCTTCTTTCTTCCTTAGCCATGCTAATAAAAATGAACTATAAAGTAACTCTTTGAAAATGTTATATTTGTAACCCTGGTGATCAGATGGCTGAGGAATAGCTTTGTATGTCTCTTAGTAAGCTCTTGTCTCTCAGCTCCAAATTCCTCCTATTACGCTCTGTGCTGCGGAGGCTGACACTCTCCAAACCCAGTTTCCTCCTTTGCCAGCCGACTGTCTGTAGGCTGTGTCAGTAGTGGGTGCTCGAGGGAGACCGTAGGGCAGAGGAGAGCAAAGGGACTTGCTCCTTCCACTTACTCAGCGCTGTTGGCTTTGCGAGCAAGGGCCCTTCACCTGGCAGCAGCCTTTGGTTCCAGTCTAGGTTTTTGACTCTCTTAGAACCTGGAACAAGAGCAGCCGGATAACCCTTCCTCTTTCCTTTGAGCGTGGGGTGGGGATGGGGGAACCGAGGGGAGAGGCTGAAGCTTGGAGGGCCCCATGGAGCTGGGACTCAGCCCTCCAGGGAGGGGCCGCTGCCCAGCTGGCTCTGGGTGAGTCAAGAAAGCTGGAGGCTGGAACCAAGTGTTCCAGGCAGGTGAAGGGCCCTGACAGAGAGCGATGGCTGGGGCAAGGCCGGCAGGGACGGGACGGCCCGGGAAGGAGTACTCCTGCCTCCCTCTCTGCTCTGCAGGCCCCAGAGGGAGTCGGTCAGGCAGATGCTCACAGGAATCAGCTGATAAAGGAGAAGCAGGGTTGGCAGGGTCCCAGCCCCAGCATCACAGGTCTAGAAGGGCGAATTTGGAGTTGAGAGGCAAATGACAACTCGGTAACTGAAACCTTTTGTGAAGTCAAATCTCAGAAAATTTTATCTTCCTTCTTCAGGCTTCCAGCTTGTCTTCTTACCCTACGCTGATGATAAACGGAAGGTGCCCTTTACTGAAAAAGTCATGGCGAACCCAGAGCAGATAGACAAGATGAAGGCTATTGTTCAGAAGCTCCGTTTCAACTACAGGTGAGTAGTGGGTCCACCTCAGGCTTTCTTCTGGAACTGTCTCCTGAGGTGAGAGGATTCTTTTACTCCCAGCTGCTGCTGAGCGTGGGGAGAAAGAGTGGGTTCTTTCTCTCCCTATGTCGCACCTTCTCTCCTTCGTTGTGTTTTCGTACTTCACGGCCCTGCCTCCTCCATGTCTCTCTCTGCCCACTGCTTCTCGTGACAGACAGATGGGCAGGTGTTTGCTTCTAAATTAGCTTTTGGATTCCCAATAAATTGAAAATTGGAGAGAGAAAAGTTGACTCAAGAGACAAGATTCCCCACTGTTTGATTTGGGCTGTTTTCCTCAGCCGACCCCAGGCCTGTGCTGCCTCAGTCGGGTTTATTTAATAATTTTATTCATTTATTTTTTAAATGTTCCGTTGTTTCAGTGTATTTATGCTATTATGATTGTTTTACTAGAAGTGACAGCTTCGAGAACCCAGTGCTGCAGCAACACTTCAGGAACCTGGAGGCGCTGGCTTTGGACCTCATGGAGCCCGAGCAAGCGGTGGATCTGACACGTAAGAAGGCTGTGGCGAAGCTCGGTGGTTCTTTCCGCAACAACCCCACTCTGGACCAGAAAGATGGATGCATGTCCTAGCACCCTCTAAAGATTTAACCTCCTTGTTCCAGCCATGTCCGAGAGATTTTCTAGTCCAGCGTAGACCGCCTCGGAGCAGATTTGGCTGGTTCTGTCGTGAGAGGAGAGCAAAGTGCCAGGCTTCTGAGACCTGCCTTTGAATGAGGAGGCCACCTCATGACTACATGTTGGTAAAAGTAAAAAAAATAATAATAATCTGTAACATTTATTGAGCGCTCACTGTGTGCCAGGCACTGTTGTCCTATATGTTGTTGACTCATTTAATTCTCGTAACTACGAGGTAGGCGCTGCTGTCGGCCTTGTTTTCTAGAGAAGGGAGTGATGTGCCGAGGCACGAAGTGGTGAGCGGTGGATCTAGGCTTAGAATCCAGGGAGTCTGGCCCGGAGCCCGTGCTCGGCACCACGGTGCAGACTGCGTGCTCTACCTGAGAAGGTCCACCTCGTTACCCAGCATCGGGGAGATGCGCCTGGCCTCCTCGGTCGAGCTCTGAGCTCGCTACCTGGCCCTTTCTTGACTGTGATTCTCTTACATATTTCACGAGAGCACATGCGCAGTTTAGTGATGTCAGTAAACACCCAGCAGGAAACAGATGGGACTTAATGAGGGCTCTTGACAGAGGTTAAAAAGATCCGAGCAATTAGTGTGGCCTGCTCAGCTCTGCAGTTATTAATGATCTCTCTTATGCTAGACCAAGCAGCCCCGCACGAGCGCTGTAAGAGCTGGTATACCTGTGCTGCGGATCTGGCGGGAGGGCAGGGCTGGGGTAACGCGGCCTGTCTATCTTGGTGGCCTTTAGCGAATCAGGAAGTAAGTGGCCTGGTCTCCAGCAAGGTGGTGAAGGACTCGGGCTTCGGAAACAGCTGATACAGATTTGAATCCCAGCTTTGCCACATACTTGATTAGCCTTGGGATCTCATTAATCTCCCTGAAACTCAGTTTCTTTCTTTCTTTCTTTTTTTTTTTAAAGATTTTATTTATTTATTTGACAGAGAGAGAGAGAAAGAGAGAGCATGAGCAGAGGGAGGGGGAGGGGGATAGGCAGAGTCCCCGCTGAGCAGGGAGCCCGATGCGGGACTCGATCCCAGGACCCTGGGATCATGACCTGAGCTGAAGGCAGACACTTCACCAACTGGGCCACCCAGGCGTCCCTGAAACTCAGTTTCTTTATGGGTAAAATGGGGACAGTGAGATGTTCTTACAAGGGATTAACCACATCTCGGTCCTGATGCTCAGGAAGTGCTCAGGACACGGTGTTTCCCCGTTATTCCGCGGCGTCCACTCTGTTCCTTACCATGGCCTTGGCCTCTTGCATCCTGGCGCCTGTCCTGTAATTTTACTGCAAGTCGTGTTTTCTCTTCCTGCCTCTATTTCCAAAACACTTTTGGCTGCTGTGATGTTCCCTCTAACTCCTCAGCCCCTCTGCTCTCCCTTTCTGTTCGTTATCTTGTCCGCTCCTATGGCCTCCAGCGTCCTCTCTCATGTCCATGACTCCCGAGCCTGTGTCCCCAGCCCTGTCCTTTCTGCTCGGCTCTGGCTGGAACCGCAGCTGCCCTGCCGGTGGCCATCTGCTGCGCCACCCGGCTCTCCTACCGCTCAGACCTCGGACAGCTTTGACTCTTCGCCCTTTCATGTTCTTCACTCAGCTGTACTCCGACGTGTCTCTGCTTCCCTCCGACACAGTGATAATGGCTTTCTCTTCGTAAATCACTTACTAAAGACTCACGATTGCGGTCTTGGTTTTTCTCCTGGGCTCACAGCAGCCCAGGACTCCGTTGCTGGGCCTGCTTCCTTTTTTCCCTCCTCCAAACATGGGAGCGCTCTAGGTGACCTTGGGCCCCATCTTTCTCTGTCACCTCACTTCTCCCTCGGTGGCCTCTGCAGGCTACCCCAGTGGTTCTGCGTGTGCTCCCCGGGCCAGCAGCACTGGCATGACCGGGAAACTTGTCAGAAAGGCCAAGTTTGAGCCCTTTCCCAAGCCGACTAATTCTGAAACTCAGCTTGGGACCCAGCAATCTGTTTTACAACAAGCCTTCCTGGTGATTTTGAGACATGCCCCGACCTCTAGCACATTGGTTCTCAACTTGGGCTTACAACAGAATTGTCTGGGGGACTTAAAAAAAATCTGGCTGTTTAGGCCTCAGCCGCAGACCAGTTAAATCAGAATCTCTGGGGGAAGGGTTTGGGCATCAGTGTTTCTTAAAAGTCCTAGCTGGTTCCCAGGTGGAGAACCAGAGTTCTTGCATACGCTCATGTAGTCTGGGACAGGGGGCTTCCGACTTGGCCGGAGCCCAGTTTGGCCGTGACATTGTGCCAGGAGCTCCCCTCAGTACTTTGCAAACGTGGCCATGTGAGGAGGTGATGAGACTCCTCTCCTCAGGCCTGCCCTCGATGTGACATGGCTCAGGTCACAGCTCCACAAACCGTACACAGTGGTAAGGTAACACAAATACTGTCTTTCCCCCAGAGATATCTTGTTCCTGTTGTGTTGGTCTTGGCGAATGTTCCTGGCCTCCCAGCCAGCCACCCCGACACCTCACATTCCGTCTGTATGTCCGTCAGTTCTGCCGCTTCTCGGGTTTATGCCCTTCTCCCCGGCTGCTGTCTCATCGTCCTTCAGGTCATACTCCACACACAGCTCCAGGAGATCTTTCTAAAATGCAGTTGGGGTCATGTCCCTGTCCCCCTGCTCATAGCCCTTCAGTTTCCCCACTGTTCTCAGGATAATGTCTTAAGTCCCGCACGAGCGTACAAGGCTTCCATGACCTCGCCATGACTGCCTGGAATTCCAGCCTCCTCGCTGGTCCTGCCCTCCTGACCTTCTACCTTCAAGCTGTATGTCACCTGCCCTTTCTTACTCCTGTGCGTTCTGCTGCTTGGAATAGTATCTGCCTGAGGAACAGAGCGCTCAGCTTCCCAGACCCGGCTGCGGAAAGTCTTTCCTGACCCCTCCCGTGTTCCCAGTGTGCCTTGTTCAGTCCCTTCATGGCATTGTCACCTACTGCATTTATGTTTTCACCACCTCCTTACCCTGACTAGACTGTAAGCCCACTGCGGGCACAGACTCTGGTTTGAAACCCCAGAATCTAGCCCAGTTCGTAACTCTATCACTCCCAGCTCGTTGGCCTCGGGCAAGTCATTTAACCTCTTGGCTTCCCTCTGTAAAACAGGGAGACAAATTTACCTACCCTCTAGAGGATTAAATTAAAAAATAAGTTTAAAGCATTTAGAAGGGTGCCTGGCTGTAGTAAGTGCTCATTAAATGCGATTGTTAGAAGGTACTTGATCAATATTAGAGAGGCATTCATGGCCAGGTCAGTTGCCTCCTCCTGGACCCTCCCGGGACTTCCCCCAACCCCAGCAGTTAGGTGCTTTCTCCTCTGGTCCCCGTAGACTTGGAACTGGACAGGAAGCCAGGACTCGTGACTCACCTGGCCACTCTTCTTGTGTTTTGATTTTCTAGTGCCTAAAATTGAAGCAATAGATAAAAGACTGGGCTCCCTGGTGAATGAGTTTAAGGAGCTTGTCTACCCACCGGATTATAATCCTGAAGGAAAAGTTCCCAAGCGGAAACAAGGTGAGGAACTGGGTATTTTTTTAAAGTTGACTTTATGGTCATATCACAGAGGATCATGTCCCTTCAGAAATTTCTATACAAACCTACATATTTAATACAGACATACATATTTCAGCACAAATGGACTAGTATTCACTTTGTTTTCTAGTTTATTTTCTTACTTAGCTACATATGTTGAAGAGTTATGTCCATACAAAGCTACTGTATTTAAAAAACAAGGCTCCAGAGTACTTCACTGGATAGATGTAAACAGTTTGTTCAACCAGACCTTTCTTGATGGGTAGGCTGCAGTGAACATGAACCACCGTTGCGTTCTTGTGTGAGTGGATCCATAGTTTATCTAGGATAAATTCCTAGCAGTGGTATTGCTGGGTCAAGGTGTCGACATTTAAAATTCTGATCAGAATTGCCAGTTGGGGGCGCCTGCCTTCAGCTCAGGTCATGATCCTGCAGTCCCCGGATCGTCCCGGATTGAGTCCCGCATCGGGCTCCCTGCTCAGCGGGGAGTCTGCTTCTCCCTCTGACCCTCCTCTCTCTCATGCTCTCTCATTCCCTCTTTCAAATAAATAAAATCTTTAAAGAAAAAAAAAAGAATTGCCAGGTGGCCTCTGAAAAAGTGATACAATTTATATCCTATTCAAGAAAGAGTGAGTGTATTTCCCTACATTCTTACCTGTACTGGACTTGATATACTATTTCGTTTTTTCACTAAGAATAATAGAGGGAGGGGCGCCTGGGTGGCTCAGCCATTAAGCGTCTGCCTTCAGTTCAGGTCATGATCCCAGGGTCCTGGGATCGAGCCCCGCGTCGGGCTCTCTGCTCCGCAGGAAGCCTGCTTCTCCCTCTCCCACTCCCCCTGCTTGTGTTCCCTCTCTCGCTGTGTCTCTCTCTCTCAAATAAAGTCTTAAAAAAAAAAAAAAGAAAAATAATAGAGGGAAAACTATATCCTATGTTCATTTGCAATTTTCCAGTTATGAATGAGATGTAGTTTTGTTTTTTAATTTTAATTAAAAAAATTTTTTTCTTATTTTAAGTAAGCTCCATGCCCAGCGTGGAGCTCAATGTGGGGCTTGAACTCACAACCCTGAGATCAAGACCTGTGCTAAGATCAAGAGTCAGACACTTAACTGACTGAGCCACCCAGGCGTCCCAAATGAGATGTAGTTTTATTGGACTTTTTTTTCTGTGAACTTGCAGTGATTGGCTTTAACCATTTTTTCTTTACTATCCTTACCACTAGACCCAAAATACTCTTTACCATGATTCTCATCTTGTTCAGGACGACATGTTGTGAGTTCCTTAGCATGGGGGAATAGTTCTGGCTTAGGTTGTACATTTTGGGGCTATTTTTGGTCTAGTCAAGCCAGATGTGGGCTTTGCTTGCCTAGCAGCCCTACAAGGAAGTGGAGCTGTGAGAGCCTGGGTTGGTGGCCATGGAGCTTTCTCTTTTCCATCTGAAGTGACTCTTATAGTGTCCTCTGGGAACTGCTGTCATAGCTCTTCACACCTGTGCACACTTTAGTGATTTTTTTTTTTAAAGATTTTATGTATTTATTAGAGCGAGAGAGACAGAAACAGAGGGAACACAAGCAGGGGGAGTGGGAGAGGGAGAAGCAGGCTCTCCGCAGAGCAGGGAGCCCAATGCGGGGCTCGATCCCAGGACCCTGGGATCATGACCTGAGCCGAAGGCAGACGCTTCACCGACTGAGCCACCCGGGCGCCCCAGTGATTTGCTTGTTTATCCCCCTCTGCTTGCACTTTCTGACCACCGAGTATGGTGCCCTAGTACTTTACACAGCGCTCGGTAAGTGCTTTTTCAATGAAGGAAGGAATGAATGACCTACCCAGAGTGAGCACCCATTTTGGGTAAACTGGGGCACTTACACTACTTTGAACTCCCTTCTCAGGGTGGTACAGTTTTGACTTTAGCTGATAAGCTGCCTTATCAAAACACCCTCCAGGGGCGACTCGGTGGTGCAGTCGGTTAACCGTCCAGCTCTTGGTTTCGGCTCAGGTCCTGATGTTGGGGTCGTGGGATCCAGCCCCATATTGGGCTCAGTATGGAGTCTGCTTCGGAGTCTCTCCCTCTGCCCCTCCCCGCCGCACTCTTTCTCCCTCTCAAATAAGTAAATCTTACAAAACCAAAGAACCAAAAGCCACCCTCCCGTGGGGTTCTAGATGGGCATCACAGCCTTATGGAAGGTGGTTAACTGCAGCCCAGATCATAGGAGGGCCCCTGTGCAGTGTAGCTGGGTGCTGCTGGTAGCATTTCCAGTCATTCCCTCCTGACCTTTTCCCCCAGATGATGAAGGTTCTGGCAGCAAAAGGCCCAAGATGGAGTTATCTGAAGAGGATCTGAAGGCCCATGTGAGCAAGGGCACGCTGGGTAAGCTCACTGTGCCCGTGCTGAAGGAAGCCTGCAGGGTGTACGGGCTGAGGGGTGGGTTGAAGAAGCAGGAGCTGCTGGACACGCTCACTAAGCACTTCCAGAACTGACCAGCCGGCCAGCCCCCTCCTCCTGCACTCTAGCCAGGCTGCCTGGTTTTATTCTCATCAAGTTAAAACAGGTTTCTCCTGAGCCAGGAAGAGTCTGCCTGATAGAAGCCAAGGACTTTACATTTATGAGATGTTCTGTTGCCGTGGAGACAGCATAGCCCTCCCACTTTGCTGTGCTTTACTGTCTGAATAAAGAGCCCTAACTTTGTACTGTATACTGTTCTTTAGTGTGACGAAGAAAGACGTAACTTTGTACTGTATACTGTTCTTTAGTGTGACGAAGAAAGACGTGTCTGCCTCACATCCGAAGATCACTTGCCATTGGCTATTAGCTTAATTTTCTCTCCCATTAGGAACATATCCTCATCATAATGGAAACAAGTATCAGCGAAGGCGGGGGAGAATGTGACAGTTAAGGACAGGTGGACATACTTCAGGAATGACAAGCCCTAGCAATAGTTAGTCACCCATCCTCTGGCCTCCCACCTGTTTTCCCTTTCATTGCGTCTTAATATAGATCTAAAGATCAGATTTCCAGAGCAATAAGTATTTAACATTTCTAATCCTGGTACCATTTGCTTCATCAGTAAATAGCCCCCTTCATGCTGCGTTCATCTTAATGTGACATTCAGGTATATGAAGATATGTACATTTTCTGTTGCCCTGAGAATTTCAGTTCCAGCGTAAGTGAAATGAGTTGTTCCTCCTACTTTTCAGGGGAGCTGTAGGAAGATGAGGAGAGGTATTAGGAAAGGGGGAGGAGGAGCAGGGTAGGGTGTCTTTCTCTTTGTGTCCCCTATCCCCCCCACACGCCATTCCTCTTCTATCCTCCCTGTCCCTTTCCTGCTCTTTCTGCTCTGCTGCTTTTGAAGAATTAGCCTGAGAGAAGGAAGGAAAGCATCTGGAAGGGTTTGCATCCTCCAAGGATGGCTTGAGATTCAGAGTTTGTAGGTCCTGTGTCTTTTAGGACCAGAATGAGCATCTCATGAGACATAGAAAGGGTCAAATTACTCTTGTAAAGAGATTTTTGGTTTTGGGTTCTTTGAGTATTATAAGGTTTTTTGTTTTGTTTTTACTTGGAAAGCAGATGTTATGTTCTTGTTTGGCTTTCTTTCTTTATCTGGGGGAGAGGGAAGTTAATTCCCCAGTTAGAAGAGATGCTTTTGAGGACACAGCAAGATAATGTGAAGTCATTTAATATAGTAAGTGCTCATTCTTGTTCAGAAATTAGACCATCCCTCTTAAATGCAGCATGCTTGGAAACCCTAGGTTCTAGGGAACGTTACTAATACTACAAAGATTCGAATCAGGCTAGTCACGAGTAGGAGAGTAAGAATGAGTATCATTGCTGGGCCTTTGTTTTAAACGCTGGATTTCCTGGCTAGTGATGAGGAGCCCTAGAGTGAGTTCCAGGCTTTTCTACGCACTCCTAAGGGGACCTTACCCAAGTCCAGGCTCCTTTCCCTCAGTTCTATTTACAAAGTGTTGAGAATGAAAGAGCTCAAGGTAGTGTGATGTTAGAAAAATAACCATCCGAGGTCTGTGATACACAGCAGTGGTATGATCTCTCTCTCTGAATTAATGACCTTGCCTTGTCTGCTGTTGATCCTCCAGGAGAGAAGAAACATAACCAAAGCGTAATTTGGTTGGGCTTTTGTAAGCTCCTAAGTCAGATTTAGTAAATGTGCATCTTGGCTCCCTCACATACATACAAGTGAGCGTGGGCAATTTACCTGGCATTTTCGAGCCACAGTTTCCTCATATTTATAATAAGAATGATAAGGGTGAGGTCAGCGCATCCTCCCCGAGTGGCCGGCAGCCTGGGCAGGTGGTGAGCAGCCGCTGGGGAGCACGAATTGCTACAGCAAGCAGACGTATGCGCATATGCGTTTATACCCCCGGGCCAGATGCAGAGGGAACATCTCGTATGTCTTGTTTTAATGTCTTACTAAAATATTAGAAGAAAAGCAAGGCAGGACCACGAACTCGGGAGAGATTAGTCATCCTCTTTCTCTCCCTCCGTCATCCAGAAATTCCAGCCTCAAATCCCTACAGGGGGGAAAACACGCACCTGATATACTCAGCTAGACGACTATCCAGCTTTCTAGTTTGAGCCCAAACTGTCCCTGAATGTGCGATAATCCTTATTGTAACTGACTGCATCACCTATGAAAACCAGTCCCACGTGGGATTTACTTCTGGCCACTCCGAAGCAGCTGGGGACATTTCCCTTGTGGGCCCTGCCAGTGTCTCCGGTGTTCTGCATGACCCTACAGTTTTGACGTGGCCCTATTTATTGCTGTGTTGACCAGACAGCCCCCACAACCTTAGTTGTCTGTTGCTGTGTAACAAATCAGCCCAAAACTTGGCTTAAAAACAATGGACACTTACTGTTTCTCACCATTTCAGTGTGTAAGGAACTGGGGAGCGGATAGGCTGGCTTGAAGTCAATCATGAGGTTGCATTCAAGATGTTGGCCAGGCCTGCAGTCCTCTGAAAGCTTGCCTGAGGCTGGAGGATCCACTTACAAGAAGGCTGATTGATCTTGTTTTTAATTTTCTGTATCTTGTTTTGACATCTGGGACGGGGGGTGCCTGGGGAAAGACTGCCCCTCCCAAAGCTAGCTAGTTCCTGAACACAGTTAACAGTGTATTTGCCAGCATGCCTCTCATGCAAGCCAGAGACCTTACCAACATTGTCCCTGCCCTAAATCACTAGGCAACTCGAAACCACTCTTGTAGCCCAGAGCCCACTGGAATTGTTCAGACTAGTGAATCCTAAGCTGTTTTACTCTGCCCTGCCTTGCCTTTGCCACAGAAACCCCCGTAAAGACTGTGGCCTAAGCTTTCCCCTTGCTCTGGCTTCTACCACCTGACCAAATCCTGGGTGCTTCCCCTGTGGCCCTGTGTGGTGTGGCATGCCCCCTTCTCTTGGGAAATATAAGTAGTAAATTCTTCCGATGGCATCGACCTCTCCTCTCCTTCAGTTTGTAGTCACCTACAAATTAAGATCTTGTGAGTACAGATGAGACAGGCTCACTGCCATGGCTGGCAGTTAATGCTAGCTGTTGGCTAGAAGCCTTCGGAACTCTTCACAGGTTGCCTAAAAGACTTCATGACACGGCTGTGACTTCCCTCATAGCCAGGGATCCAAAGACATGAAGGCAGAAGCTGTAATGTCTTTTATGGAGCTTGAAAGTCACACATCATTCCACCATGTTGGTCATGCAGGCCAGCTCTGAGTTGGTGTGGGCTGAGACTGCGCAAGGGCATGAATTCCCGGAGGTGAGGATCCCTGGGGGCCATCTTGGAGGCTGGCTGCCTTAGGACATCATGGAAAATACTGATTTGCTACTTTCTTTTTCTTCCTTCAGAAGAGGACAAGGAATTATACCCACCCACCCACCCCTGACCCCCACTGTAGGCAGATATGTCTGCTCAAGTCAGAGGCACATACCTGATTTTTCAAAATGTAACTTAGCTGACATCGAGAGGGACTCGGGGATACTGAGTGTCTAGAACAAGCTCCCCTTCCTTCCCCATCAGTTTTTGTTTAGTACTTAACATACTACAAATGACCTTTAGCAAGGTCATTATGGCAAATATAAGAACATTCCTTAATCATGGGTCCTCTCAGGAAACTTTTTCTAAAACAGAAGTTCCTAACCAGTGTGTGGGGTCAGAGGACCCTTTCAGACCCGATGAAAGCCCCTGGACTCTCTCCAAAATGTTTTTATGCAAAATTCTGCAACCAACTTCATAGATGGCTGGATGGAAATTACTAGATGTCCTTGCTTGCGTGTCTAGGCTTTAGGAATTATCATTCTCCACTTTCGGAGCATCCATGTTAGGGCAGCACCGCAGGTGCTAGGACATCACACAAGTTCCTGCTCTCTCATGAGGGCAATGATCAGAAAACCACCTCCGAGATTAGTTAAGGACAAGTTAAAAATCAAATGTCACAGCGCTGGGGGAAAGAGAGATGAGGTAGTTTGTACCTCAGGCCCTACAGAAGTGATACTTGAGTTAAGACTGGCATGAGGAGAAAGCCCCCAGTGCAGTAAAGGAACACCACATATGAGAAGAAAGTAGGTTTGGAGTGTTCAAGAAACCAAATGTGAAACAGAGCAAAGACAGAACATGGTGGAGAGGCAGACACAGGACAGGCAATGGAGGCCACTAGGAGCAGGGAAAAGAGCCAGTTTTTTTTGGAGGATCATAGATGGACACCCTGCCCTTTGAAGGCTTACGATGGGGCCGTGGTGACTAGGCTAACACTCTAGAGGCAACTGGGCACTAGGGGTGAAGATCCCAGGAGCCCCTGCCCCACCGCACTTCTTAGGGCTCAAGTGGAGATGGCCCAGTTTCCACCTAGGTGGAGATTGGACTTCTTGATCTTTCTGCATCCCCTAAATTATGTCTTTTAAAGTATGATTATAAATGTTCATACACAACAAAAGACAGTGAGCACCTGAAACTCCACCCTCCACAAATATAAAACTGCTTGGGGTGGGGTGGGGGTATATGAATACTGGAGTGAGCCGGGAGAAAGGACTCGCCCAGCAGGTACAGAACGGCCTTAGCAGGACAGACTGGTTTCCAGGTTTCCTGCATATGCTCCCAAACTGGCTGAAAGGACACTAAATAAAATCTCACTCATCCGACCATTACGGTATCCAGTTATCTGTACTTCGGCAGGAAACTTCTCTTGCTGAGGTACGTGGATCTCACGGCGCTTACCCTAAGATAACAGAAGAGGCAGGTGAGGTGGCAGTGGCTTCAGTCATCACCCCCCCCAACTCTCTAGCATGTGCCAAAGGCTACTAGGAGCCCTAATTCTGCAACAGTTCTCAGCTAGGGGTGACTTTGCCACCAGGGAACATCTGGCAATGTCTTGGGGGTGGGGGATTGCTCCTGACATCTGGTGGGTAAAGGCCAGAGATGCTGCTGAACATTCAGCAGCAGACAGGGCTGCCCCAAAACATCAGCAGTGCTGTGGCTGAGAAACCCTTTGTAGCCTGAGAGCAACACCTCAGTGATCGAGTCTGTACAAGACACTGGGCGACCAGAAAGAAACGGAGGTAATGGCTTTTCCACACCTTCTCGGTAAAAAGTCTGTGTAACCATTCTAATAACGCTAAGCAGTTCTTCCTTCAGGTATTAGCTGGATACATACCAAGACTCACACTTTCTTTAAATTGGAATATGAATATATT